GGACGGAGTAAGAAACTCTTATATACAGTGAGGAAAGGCTTCAGCTTCGAGTCCTGAGGGGGGATTTTCATTTCAGACAGTACAGACAACCCCTCGTTGATGTAAATTCTGGCACTCTTCTGGGTGTGCCAGCGACCCTGCAACAGGATCCTGTCCAGGTTTTGGTGCTTGGAACTTAAAATCTGAGATTCCGAGTGCTTCCAAGGCCTGGTTAAACAATTGTCGCCACTTGGGCGGGGATGGAGTGAGGCTAGTACCTTCCGTGACTGTCTTTTTCCAGGCTTTGACAAGGAAAACAACGGGTTCTAAACCCAGCGCTACGCTTTCAGCGGCTCCTTGTCGTTTCCCTCCTTTGGTGTAGCCTAGGCTTATGACAGCCTGAAGGGAGGATGCTGCGCATTCAAGGTGTTTTGCTCGCAGCCCCAGGATTTCTCCTGTCCTCAACATGGAGTAGTACCCCACGAGTAACGACAGAGCAAATGAATGCCAGCCTTTAAAAATGGCCCATCCGGCCATGGCTTGGACCACATGCTCCGGCAGGGGCGGAGCGCGACTGGGGATCTCATTGCGCTGCCATGTGCGTAGCAAACGCCAGGCCGCAGGAAGATGGCCCCGCAACCCCGGTTGCATGTCCTGCAACCCCGCAAGGGTGTCGCACGCCAGGCCACGTCCTTTGCCACTGAACCAGAGATGCTCCAAGTAGTCGCAGACAAGTGGGTCCAACTTCTTCTTCTCTTTGGGCAAGGTAAGGTGTTCCGTCTTGAGGAAACTGAGGAACGCGTCCACCGCCAAGTCATATCTCTTTCGAGTACTCGGCTGCACCGTCAACTGTTTTAGACTCCCCAACTTCTGCCGCATCTTTGCTCGCTCTCGCTCTGTTCCGCCCTCCAATATTCGCTTAGGCATGTCTATACTTCGTCTTCAGCTTCCCCCCCCACCGACTGGGTTTGTCGGCAGGGTTGGTGTCTGTCGACACGTACGACCAAACGAACTGAGAGCCAGAACAGAGAACAAGAGCGTTTATTCGGGCCATGGTGCTCCGGAGTCGCCGAGAACTGGTGCGTCCTCGGGTTAGAGCATGCAGGCACACCAGGGAGTCAGTTAGATGCAGCAGGCGTTTTCTCAATTGTCCACAATGCTGGATGCAGGCTATTGATGTGCTCCTTGCCCCGCCGCCATCTCCATCCGGACACCACCGTCCACTTCCACAGCTTGGCGGGCACAGAAGCCCGGAGGCGGTGATACTTTACCAACTGCGAGCTGGGCGTTGAAAGAAGTATGTCCTCTCCCTTCAAACTGACCAAGTTACAAAGCTTGAACGCAAGGTCATACTGCGAACCAGACCCTTCACCAGCTCGCCGAAGTGGAAGGCGCACCAACCGCCCCTGGAGGGAATCAGACCCCCCTGGGCGACATAGATCCACCACCTGCTGAGGGCTAAGGCCTTCAGATACCCCCAGCAAAGCCAGCAGTTGGCCCAGGAGCCACCCCACTACTGGCACGCTCCAAGAGTTACCAATCAGCGTCAGCCGAGCGTCGAGGTACCCCTCCTTCTTCCTCTCAGACTTGCCCCAACATGCCGCTGTATAATGGAGGGGAAACCCCATCATCAGCTCTCTCTCAGCAATGGATGGGACACGGATCTCGTGCTTGCGGTTACGGACCCCGTGTGTGTCTTTGTATTGATATGGCGGGAAGCGATGCCAATCTTCTGTCCACCGTTTCAGCTCATGAGTGGAACACTCACGTATCCCTGCCGGTTTTCGTCCCGGTGCCCATGAAGGTCGTGCCGTAGTGAAGGTCGGGAAAGAATGGTCGGGGTCCACCTTGGTCCACCCGGGTTCAATCAGGTCCTCCAGCTTCTGTTGCGCCTCCAGCACCCATGTGTCAATTTGACTGCCGTGGACGCGGGTGGCTCCTTCTCCTCCTTGAAGCTCCCATGTTGTCCAGTAAAGCCTTGGCCTGTGGCACCAAGTCATCTGTCCAGCGTCGATGTGCACTGGCTTTCCTCCGAAGTCGTCGCTCATGATGTCCCTGTCGATGGCATCCATGGAACTTACTGACTCCATCAAGGTGTGGACCTGGCACCAGCGGAAGCTCTGACGGGCTAACGTCGCGATCCTGGTCACATGAACGAAGAGCGAGGACCTAGCATCACGTAGCGCTCCCTTGCGGTCGGAGTTCAACCCCAACACTCCTTGGCACGGTGGACCAGCGCCCACCACCACTAGGTCAGCTTGAGAGTATTTCAAAGACCATGCCTCGACCACGTCTGCGGTGATAGTGGCGACGTCATGGTAGTGCAGGGCACCCGGGTAGTGTGATTCGACAACACGACGGGCATGTGCTTCCTTTTCCACGGATACATAACCCAGAACTGAGACTCCCTGAAGGTCCATGGCCACGCGGAGAGCGCCGATACCGTCGAACAAGCCAATGACGACCACTTGGAACTGTTCCGCTGGGCAGAGGCGCTGGCCTCGAAGACCTCATGAGACAAATGAAGCGTAGGATCTCGAACCGACACTCCTTGGGCAAGGCCCGATACTTCTGCTGTTGCTCAGTGAAAGACTCAATGAAACGCCACACAGCATTCAATAGTCCTAGCATTGGCCGCCTGAACATGGAGAAGTAGACCAGGCCCCCGCAGACCACCTGCATCTGCCTTTGTGTGACATAGCGTTGCTCCACCAGCTTCATCCCCATGCTGACGTATTTGCTCAACTTGCTCTCCTTGGGGTAGGCCAGCCCTTGCAGTCCATCCACGGTCGCGCCCTCACAGCGTGCGGATCGCTCCACTGACTTCTTGGCATTCCTGGGGACGTCCCAACGTTCGTACTCTGACCTCAAGGCAAGGATACCAGGGGCCAACGAACCCTCTTTCTCAACCATGCCTGTGGCGTCCACTCGCTCCAAGAGGTCGTAATTATCGAGATAGACCCGCCAGGACGACATTGCCGATGGAAAAGGGCGATCCTTCCTGAGCTCCTGGTGGCCAAGGTTGACAGCCTCTCCTTCATGGGTCGCCCATTGAACTAGGTTGCGGTGCACGTTTTGTGCGAGGCTCACGGAGTTCAGAAACCCCATAGGCAAAACACGTGAAGCTAAGTACACCGTCTTCCCTTTGAGCTCCTCCGGCAGTGCTTCATTGGGAACCTCCTTGTTGAACGCCAAAAATTTTGACCCAGCACTGAGGCACCCGCATCGTATAAAAAAAGCACTTCACATCTTCAGATGATATCAGGAGGTTCTCCCCTGGCTGGAGGAAAAAGGGGCTCATCATGCCCCAGGATGGAAGGGTATCGACGTCGCCGCCCAAGGGCTGACATATGGCATTCAATGGCACCAAATTCATAATAAGGCGACAAATCTCCGCGCCTGATTGGGTATGTTCGTCCTTGGATACGCCAAAAAGGCCGTTCAGGAGTGGTCCACTCCCGGTGTCAAAGACCTCTTCCCTCTCCAGGAGGCAACACACTCCCGCATGCACCAGTCCCTGGCACATCCTGCCCCACTCATGATCATCCACCATGACTCTAGGCCGTGTCACTTTTCCCCAAAGATGTTTTGGCTTCAGGTATCGATCAAAGGAAATCACATAGGCCTTGCAGCCCAAAGAGCATACCTCTTCCAGAGGCACTGCTCCGATCTCCTTTGGAAGAGCTGGTTCGATATTGTCCCAACTGATCCATCGAGCCACCTTCACCTCGTCTCCTTTCAATGCTCTTGACCGCAAAGAAAGACCCCCAGTCAATGCCTACTGTTTCCAAGCCCAGGTTGCAGAACCTCTCAACTTCACCCACCAAAATGTTAAGCACCTTGATTTGAATCTCAGAAGCCTCATCCTTTCCAAAAAGTTCCTCACCCCAAAATGAATTCAGCGCAGTAGTCACACAAACCATCCAGTCGATCTGTTTTCGGCATCTAGAAGGCCAGAGGCTCCCCAGAAAGTCAAAGGAGGTAGGCAAAGGAAAAATATCTCTAGCACCACCTTTGCCCGTGAACAAGCTGCGAAGTGGAACCACCTCCACGAACCTCTGAACCAACCAGCCTCCTAGCTCGCCAATCGATCGACCTCGATGCCTTCGCCGTACCCGCTTCGCAAACAAATGGCGGGGGCATTGGCGGGAAGGTGCTGAATCCACCGGCCTCTAACGAAGAAGCCTGGTCCACTGGCTGACCTACAGCAGCCTGTGGGGGATTTGTCAGCCGTTCAACTCGGCTGTCTAGTGCGAGCTCAGCCACGCCCGGCCGGTCCCTCGCACCGCCAACCGACGCAAAATTGATCGCCTCCTCATACTCAAACTCTGGGCTCCCGCTGCCAGGAGCCGTCACTTGCTGGCCTGTTCCTCCTTGTGGGCTCCCTTGTTCTTGTCTTTGCCGCTGCCTTTCCCTTTTCCTCGATCTCTGTCTCGCTTGCCTTCGTCTTTGCTCTTTGAGCCTCCTTTTGAGAAACCCTTTGATCGGCCCTCGGGAAGGCCTGCCAGCATCTTCGTCCGCGCATCCGTATAAGCTTCTCTTTGAGCTGAGCTCAGTTCCTCCTGCCCCGTGAGCATCAAATTCTCTGTGGGCCCCACCTCTAGCTTCTGAGCCACTGACCAGTGGGCACCGTTCAGGCCGGCTTCCACCGATTTCAGCCTCTGCAGCAGCGTATCCAGTGCTCGTGCTGGCCAAGCATTGAGCAACTGGTCCACAGCTATTGATAGGGTGAGGATTTCCCTCAGAGCCGGGCCGTTGGCCTTTTTGAAGAGGTGCTGCCTCATGTACATAAGCGCAATGGGCTCCAAGGAGCCCCCCTCCCGGGGGGCTCCCGCCTCTTGCAGGAGGTTTGAACGCATCATAGTCAATGCTTGACACGCCAGTGCGCCTGGGCACCGTTGAGCTATCCTCTGCACCTTGGTCTCCCCATCGAAGAGCGTGTCCTCGGCCTCTGCTTCCAAGTCCGAGCCACTGTGACCCGAGGAGCTGTCGCTCCCGTCCGACGATTTCTCCTTGCCCTTTTTTCGAGCTGCACGCTTGGCCTTCTTCAGGACTCGGCGCCTGATCCTCTCTTTCTTGTCCAAGCCGGTTCCTGAGTAGAGGGAGTCGTACGTCTTGGTTGAAGCTGCTCGTGGATACTTGCCACTCAGCTGAATGGACTGGCTGCTCGAGGTCGATGATCTCCGTCTCTCCTTGTCTTCCTCTTTCTTTGTCTTCTTGCGCCCACGCTCGTCCGAGCTGACACTTTGCCCGGAGTCCTTCTTTCTTTTCTTTGTCTTCTTGTGCTTCTTCTTGTCTTTGTCCTTCTTCTTTTTCCTGCTCGAACTCCTCTCCTTCTTCTTGACCTTCTCCTCCTTCTTCTCGACAGCTCTCTCTCTCTCCCGGATTCGACAGGAGCGAGAGCCTCGCCCCGAGACCTGAGGGCTCCCAGCTCGTCGTCGGCGTCCACCACCACCAGATTCCTGGCCCACCCCTCCTCCGGGTGGGCCAGGCCCAGCTTCCTCATCTTGTAGGCGTGCAGGAGGTCCGCGGCCATCCGATCGCCCGTGCAACCGGCCGGGCAGCGGTGCGCCCTCACCAGTTGCGATGGGTTTCCAGTCTGGTGCTTGAGCAACTCCTCGTTTGTGGTGCCTGTCAGCTTGAGACGGAAGTGTACTGAGTCCAGCTGAACATCGATCGACTGGAGCTGTCCCGCTGCCTTGCACGGTGACCCGAAGTAGCTTCCATCGGTCACCTCGACCATTGTCCCAACCCCAACGTGCTCGATTGGGATTTCTGACACTCTGACCTCCTCGCCCGCTGACCAGCGAGTCAACACCCCAGGAGCCCCCTCCCCAGGGCTCCCGCGGGTCTCCTCAAAGCTCCCACTCGTCCTCTGTCCACTCTCATCGGCCGCACCACCACGGCCCTGGCCTTGGCCTTGCCTTTTGCTGCTGGTCGTGCTTTTGGCGCCATCGTGCTCAGTAGGGGGCACGGAATGGCCACGTCCTTCCTCGTTCACGATGCTTTGCGCCCTTCGACCCACGTTTCTTCTGACCTGAAGGTCTGCTCCCTGTATTGCGTCCTTGCCGTCCACGATTGTCCGGGTACCTGCCACGTTCGTTTCTCCTGCCAGGCAGTTGGTCAGGTGACTTTGGCCGCTTGGGGGCCGGAGGAGGTGGTGGTAGATGTTCGTAATGACGGGCGAGACTTCCCCTTGGAACTGGAACTAGTCCTACTGCCGATGGGGCAGTGATTGCCAGCCGGTCTAAAACCCGAGCCGCAATGGCCTCCTCAGATGCAGGTAGGCTTTCCTTCTTGTCCTCGGCAATCTGTGCCTCTCGTTCTTTGGCTTTTTTCTCCTTCTTCTCAACCCTTCTCTTCGAGGGCCTCTGGTCGGGATGCTTCTTCTTTCTCTTCTTCTTCTTTTCTTCTGCCTTCTTCTCTGATGGTTCTTCCTCTTTCTCAACCACCTCTCTGACACCTGGAACCTCGTTGGCGTTCTCCTCCTTGTCAACCACCTCTGTCTTGATGACCGGTGCCTCGGTTGCAGCCTCCCCAACAGATGCCGCTTGCTCAACGTCAGGAGCCGATGGCGTCCCGGATGACTTCTTTGCTTCCTCCTCTTGTGGACTCGCTTCGGCCTTCTCCTTCTCCAGCAACGGCGCGGCGATCTCAGCCAAATCTGTGAGGTCACCAACGCAAGCTCTAAGGGCAGCAACCGCCCTCGACTCCTGGCTTCTCAGGAGGAAGCCGCCGCAGAAAAAGTCCCTGATCCTCCGGACCGATCTGCAACCGCGGCAAAGGGAATCCTCTCGGGGCTTATCGTACAGATGGCACGAGGAGCACCGATCCATACGAGCTTAAGCCCAAACACTACGGTTCCAACATACGGAACAAACATCTTAACACCCGGGGACGTGGGTTCATATATGTATATATGTTTAACTATCCCTCAAAAAACCTTCAAAAACCATTCAAAACCTTCACATAGTAACCCTTCCAAAACACCTTCATCCCTCCATCAGACCGTCAGCCACGACGGTGCCGAACCTGGAACCGCCTCGGAGAGTCGCCGAGACACCCCCAGCAAGCGCGACAGCAGCCGCAGCACGTCGCACTTGTTGCCTGGATTGGAGCGCGTGCTGCGCTGAGCATTTGCTCTGTTCATGGGCGAACGCCAAGCCACACGGAGATGTTCTGACAAGTACAGGTTCACCCAAACCCATCTCAAATTCACCTGTGGTGCTGAAGGGGCACCTCTGACGCTGAAGGTGCTCTTGCAAAGCGCAGGCTGTTTCTCTACCTCAGCCAGTGGCGAGCGGAAAACTAAAGTCGCGCTGTTCTTCTCTGACGTGGCCTCCTGACAGTGGCATCAGCCAAATGCCAACGAGGCTCTAAATCTGCCAGAAGTTCCAGACCCGGCCCCACCAGCAGGTCATCTTCCGCAAACCTGCCATACCAATCTTGGCAAGTTAGGCGAGCAAGCGAGCCACGGCTCTCCTTCTCACTGTATAAATGTAAACCGGCTCTGCCCTTCTCTTAGAGTCCTAGTCTTACGTTGAGAAACTAGGATGAGGGCAGAAAGTTTACGAGTCAAGCACGTGCTGCATTGCTCTCCCTATTCTAGTGAATCCCAAGCCACTAAATGCAAACTACCAAACCTGACAAAACCGTTTATCTTCCGGAACCTAGATGTCACCTTTTTCCCCTTTTCAAAACATTGATATTCAAAAGAGAATTTCCCCAGCAGCTGTGACAACTGCGGTCAAAACCTGGTACCATTCAACCAGGCCTGGACAGCACAGCCCACACCTGCCAAATGGCTCTCTTGCCGTCTCTCCCCAAACAACAACCTTGACAAATATATACACCGGGAGCTTCACAGTGAAAGAAAAGCAGTTCTTCGCCATTTAGAATGTCCAAGATACTATGTACTGAATAGCGTTCGATGTGAATCAAATTTTGCCTCTGGAACGTCTGTGAACGACAAGGAAACAACTCACAGCAGTGGTCCCCATTCGTTCGATTGGCATGGGTAGCTTCGGTCGATCCTCTAATGCTGACATGGTAACTTTCAAATTCTTGAGGGCGGACGAAGGTTTTTTGAGCAGGGCGGACATGGCACCCTACTCTCCGAAGCAATTGACTCTACTGCACCTCTTGTACCATCTCTTTGGAGGCTTTCGCCCTCGCTTGCTGCAGGAGCTTCATCGCCTCCTCACCTCAGTGATGTGGGATGGACCTTTCGGTCGACCCTCCCCCGCGGTCGGATTGGTGGAGGACTTACAGCCTGGGCACGGCTCATGCCATCCTCTGGTACACTGGCTGGCTCTGCCCTGGCGAAGAGCACCTCCACAATGTCGCTGTCCTGTGTGAAAAGGCGGGCGAAAGCGCACGGGCAGTCTGGCATGATTTGTTCGGCATAGGTTTGCTTCTTGCAAATCTGTAAGAAGAAGCTGCAATAGGCTTGGGTTCTTTTTGGTCAATCTGCTTGCGACGCGGCAAAAGGTGCCTTGGCAGAACACTCACTGGTACAGGCCTTGAGTCCTATCTCAGGGCTCTGGTCAGTGCAAGCAGAAAACCCAGGATGTTAAAATCAAGTCACGAAGTCCACACCATCCCTTTCTCCAACTTTATTACAGTAATGCTCCGGCAAGAAAAAGAAATGGGCCCAAGGAGGCACATCGCATCCCAACACCTGGATGTGTCTTTTTAGAGTAAAAGGGGGATCAACCACCAATGGGCAGACTGGTCTATTTCCCTTCTTCCAGGTGGTCCATCGGGGGGTTAAGCTACACACCCACACCCGCATCCCAGCTTGTGACCCCCATCCTTGAGCTTTAACTGCAGCGGAGACTTGCTGCTATCCAGCCAGCCGAGTCCTGCGGAACATCAATTCTCCGGCCGCTCATCCACAGTTCGGGGAGCCCGTTCGGGAACGGGAAAGTCGATGACAGTCCTTTGCGACCAAAAAAACAAATCCGAACCTTAGTTGACCAACCACGACCAGTCAGGGAAAGTCATCTTCTCCACCCCTCCCACAGGCCTGCGGCCTGGGGCCTGGCAAGGCCTTTGAGACGAAAGGAGATGTCCAAGAAAGGGATCCAAGTATGCGTGGTTGTTATCGACGTCCCCTGCCCCTGCCCCTCACAGCCTGCTGTCCTGCCCCTGCCTGCGGCAGAAGAAACTTCACCTTGATCTCAACCTGAGGAGGACACGCATCAGCTCAACTCCACTCACTTGCGAAGCCATGCCTGCCATCGTTAGCGAGGCAAGAATCTTCAGACGATCTGCACCATGTCTGTCCTTTCCCTTCCTGTCCTCAACAAAATGCGTCTTCCAACGCTGCTCTGGGAGGCTTATGGAGGCTTCATGGTTGGTGGTTGTGGAAGTGAGAATGACCTCCTTTTTCAACAAGCCTCTGTCGGATTCCCCGTATTTGTCAAGTGCTTTCGGTGCCTCCGAATTGGAATGACTTATCAAGAGGACTACCCTATACTGAAAGGCACGGTTTGAAGGAGAACCTTCACACTGGTGTAAAAGCTACACTGAATGCAGCCTGCGCCACCTCGTCGTCAGAAACACCACGGTCCTTGGCATAACTGCTCCTGCCAGCAAAGCGGCATTGTTGGCATAGAGCAATGAATCTTGTCGATTGCGACATGCCTACATTTGTAGCTGATGCATATATATATATATATATAATTGTTTTTGGGCCGCGACTTAATTTTGGATTTTTTTGTTTCTTGTTTGGATATTTCTTGTTTTTCGTGTTTCGTGGCAGGTGCAGTACTTTGTGGACCATGCAAAGCACATTTCGTGGCAGGTGCAGGACTTTGTGGATGTGGAAGTGCAGAGTTGGTGGCAGGTGCAAGACTTTGTGGGCCTTGGAGTGCAGATTTTGTGGCAGGCGCAAGACTTTTTGTGGGCGTTGAAGTGCAGATTTCGTGGCAGGTGTAGTACTTTGTGGCCCTTGGAGTGCAGATTTCGTGGCAGGCGCAGGACTTTGTGGACCTTGAAGTGCAGATTTCGTGGCAGATGCAGGACTTTGTGGATGTGGCAGTGTAGAGTTGGTGGCAGGTGCAGGACTTTGTGGGTCTTGGAGTGCAGATTTCGTGGCAGGCGCAAGACTTTGTGGACCTTGAAGTGCAGATTTCGTGGCAGGTGCAATACTTTGTGGATGTTGAACTGCTGGATGGATGGATGGATGGATGGATGGATGGATAGATAGATAGATAGATAGAGGAGGCATATTTGCTTGGTTAGAAAGTTTTGCACCGGGGAGTTCACCTTAAAATATTGATTTCGTGGCAGGCGCGGGTGTCGGGGATGAAGTGCAGATTTCGTGGCGCGGGGGGGGTTGGGGGGGGCGCAGCGCCCCCCCCAGCAGCACACCA